AAAAAAAAAAAAAAAAAAGAAAACAAAAAAAAAATAAAAAAGGCAGCAAATGCCGTTCAATGGAGTGAACGCATAGGGGGAGGCCCACACATAAATGGACGGTCACAATGGAGAAATATGCCAAGTTGGCATTTAAATTAACTTGAACAGGCATTGAACGCCTGCAATGCGGGTGCCCTTACAATTAAAATTATTAAAGCCACCTCATGTGACACATAAGATTGTGGCATAGCTTATGCTGCCCTATTGGGCAACATAGAATTCCTGAGGTGAACATGATGGATGTTTAGAGGTCCAAAGCTTAGAAGAAATTATGGACAGTGTCATTGGAAATTCTTTTGAGGATGATTCAGTACATTCAGGACCAATCACACGGTATGAAGCACTAATGGCAGCCACAACTCTTCACAGCTTTTAATTACAGCTTGAGAGTATGACACTAGAACTTTCAGATGAAATGAGATAAATTAAGGATGAAATCAATTTAGATTTGAATTTGATGAAGAAACAAAAAAACTATAGATTCATATTTTACTAAATTGCCGTAATTATATTTGTAATTTTAAAGGACTACTAATTTATGATTTTGATGAGACTATATATTTACAAATGAGTCTTTCTAAAAAATTATTATCTTATTATTTTATTAGAATTTACAGTTTTTTACACTGGCCAAGTCGGGACCGGGAGAAAATATTATATTTGAGAGATTATTAATTTATCGAGTATTAATTTATAGAGGTTCTACTGTAGCTAATTTTATACAAATACAGTCGTAGGCTGTCTAACCTAGTCCATCCCGCTCTCTTCCACAAATTACATGTTTATTAATATAGAAAAGACCTCCGACTGGCTGGAACGAGCTAGAAATGTTTGAACCTCGAGTTGGTTGTCGGTTAAACGTCCTCCTGCAGAACCCTCACACCAGAGAGGGTTTCCGGTGAAAATCCTTTGATTCTTAAGTTAGCACCTAATCAAGATGAAGTGCTATATCAAAAGTGCAGTAGAGAATGTAATGTGTTTTTAGGCATTCCTCAATTCCTTATGTAAGGAGATGATACCTTAGTGCTCAAGTCGGGTGCATGAGCTCCCCGATAGCAGCGCGTGAGCTGACTCGATTATCAGAGCTGTCAGAGCCTTCCAGGCTGTCAGAGACGGTTATGAGACGTAGACCAATCTGGTGGTACCACGTGATATTTCCCATGTGGGGGTTTAATTCCTCTAAGATTCCTGTTTATCACCTTAGTCCTCCATATTAGGAGGTCTAATTCTGTACTCATCCCCGATTACTTCGAGGTGGGACATCCTGCTCATCTGGTCGATCTCTCAACCGTATGCTCTTTTGAGGTGTGTTACGACTAGGCCCTTCGAGGGCCTCTATTCGACCTGCTATTCTTCTCAACGCCTTCAATGTCTTATTCGACCTGAGGAGTATCCATCCTTCACTATACCTGATGGCCAGTCTGTTTGGTTCAGTTGTCTCTCCGGTCTCTTCGACGTGATAAGGTTATCCCATATCATCTATACTATAGAACGTTACTCTTTTATTTATATGTATTTTAAATTATGATATTTGGATGTAAAATAATATTTTAATTATGATATTTGAAAGTAAAATTATGTATATGAATAAGAAGATTCTGATTGTCTTAAAAAACGAAGAAACACCTAGGAAGGGTGGGAGATTAAGGCCGGATCCCCAACCTGTATATAGTCAAACTCTAATTGGGGAAAAAACGCAGGGCTAGACATGTCTAAACAACAAACGAGAACACAACAAAAAAAAAGAAAAAAAACAACAACAAAAACCAGCACGAAAAAGTCTGAACCTGGGCTGACAGGTGTCAAGTCAAGCAGTCTGCACCACAATGTCCGCAAAAATACAAAAATACAGGACGACTACTAGAATTTGAAAGAGGGGTAGCCATCTTGATCCATTCGCGGAAGATGAGGCACCAAG